CATACAGAGGCTGGACAAAAGGGAGGGTTGGGGGAGGAGGGAGGAGGAGGGACGGGACTGAATTGATTTTCTTGTTCCAACACAGCAACTTCAGAGTCACAAAGACGGAGGCTGGGAGAGGGGGAGGGGTGGTGGGGGGGGGGGACATAGAGGTGGGGGGGAGCAGGAGGGACGGGACTGACTAAGATTACTTGTTCCGCCACAGCACCTTCATAGTCACAGACACGGAGGCTGGAGAGGGGGGAAGGGGTGGGGGAAGGGGGGGGAGTGATGATGGAGTAAATGAGGGTGGAAATGATGGAATGGTTGGAGAAGAGGGAGATGAAGAATCAACAATTGAAGGAGATAGTGATCCATGGAAGTTTCTAGACAGTGGTGACAGTCATGCCAAGGTGAGGGAGATAGAGGAATTACTTGAAGAGGGCGCCATCGTTATTGGAAGGGAAGTGAAATCTGGAGATGAAAATGAGAAAGCATTGGCGGATTCCAGTGAGGATGAGGTTGAATCACCGGCAGAGGAGTTGGGGAGAGGAAAGAGGGTGAAGAAAGTAAACCCCTGGTATGCGCAACTGCTGATGACGTGCTAGAAGGACATCTATACACACTTCCTACTCTCTGCCACAGCTACTGACCTAGTCTCCAATGAAGGAAAAGTTACTCACAACCTGCCCAAAGAACCTGTGAGCATCGAGGAGGCACTAGAGGGTCCAGAAAGGGAGCAGTGGAAATCGCAATAAAGGAGGAGTTGAACACATTGGCTGCAAGGGGCACATGGGAGCTTGTTTCTATGCCGGAAGGGAGGAAAGCCTTGGGGGTGAAGTGGATTTTAAAGATCAAGACCGGAGATATGGGGCAGCTGGAAAGGTTCAAAGCAAGGCTTGTAGCCAAGGGCTACACTCAGGTGGAGGGTAAAGACTAGAAACAGAATGAAATCTATGCTCCTGTGAGCAAGTTGACAACGGCACGGGTCTTTCTCAAGGTGGTAGCAGCAAAGAAATACTTCATGGTGCAGCTGGACATAAAAAAAGTTTTTTTGTATGGGGTGCTGACGACGGCCCGGGCAGAAAATGCAAGCTCAACAAGGCATTATATAGGCTGAAGTAGAGTCCTAGGGAGTGGTATATGGCGATGGATGAGCGGCTACTGCAAGGGGGTTTTCAGAAAAGCGAGTGTGATAGGGCATTCTACTGGAAGGGAGAAGGGAAGGAGAAGGTGTTATTGGTGCTATATGTGGGCGACATCTTGATGGTAGGGGCGTTAGAGGAGGTAGAGAAGGTGTGCACTTACCTTGCGGAAGTGTTTCAAGTGAAGTAAATTCCGCGGACCACACTCTTTCTCGGCATGAATCTGGAGCGGTGTAAGGAGGAGAGCAAGATGTTTATGTACCAGCACAAATATTGCAGCAGGGAGCACCAGAGGTTTGGAAATGGCTACACCAAGGCGATTTCTACACCATTGGTAGCTGAAAACGATGGTGAATGAGAGGAGTATGTCAACCAATGGGGTAGCAAGGAGAGGGCTCTACAGGTATACCAGTCCATGGTGGGGTCCATAATGTTCTCAGTTTCATGCACACGCGTGGACATGGCATACGCAGCTAGCTACCTTGGGCAACAAGTGTAGCAGCAAGGGGAGAGAAAGTGGAGAGAGATGAGGAGGACCATCGACTACCTCCTGCAACATGAAAATGAGGGGATGTTATTTGAAGGAGGTGAAGAGACCTTGGAGTTAGTGGGGTATGCGGATGCTTCACATGCATCCGAAAAGAAAACAAAGAAGGGAGCATACGGTTACGTGTTTCTGCTCGGCGGGACAGCAATCATGTGGCAAGCGAAAAAGTTGGCTGACATATCGCTCTCTAGTGCGGAAGCGGAGTACATGGCTCTATTTTACACATGCCAAGAGGGGGTTTGGCTGAGAAGGCTACTCAAGGAGATGGAAATCAAGGTGGAAGGACCTACGGTGATCCGCTCGGACAGCAAATCTGCAATCGATTTGGCTCATAACGACAATTGGCATGGCAGGACCAAGCATATGGATGTGAAGTATCATTGGGTGCACTCAAAGGTAAATAGCAAGGAGTTTGAGTTTGAATTCGTGCATACGGAGGCACAGACGGCAGATCTCCTAACTAAGGTGTTACCAAGGGCTAATTTTGAGCGATGCAAGAGAGAAGTTGGGATACGTACCTTCGCTGAATTGCAGGGGAGTGTGGAGCAGGCCTAGAGATGGTTCAAGGTGAAACGTGCGAGGGAGAGTGCAGAAGCTGGTGGTTAGCTAACCACGACCTAGAGAGACCTACATCGACTTACGAAGGACCTACCTCGACGAGTTGAGACTAAGGGAAAGCGAGGACCAGAGAAGATGTTAAGCTAATTATGTTGGGGCGGTGGAAGAAGGAACACGGCAGCGGCGGATTCTGTGCTGAGAAACAAAGCGAAGAAGAGGAAGTGTGCAGACATGGAGAAGAACACGGCTGAAATGCCGAGATGTCAAGCGACGTGAAGAGAAGTCATGCCAGGTTGAAGGCGCGTCCAAGGAAGTCCGAAATTCGAGGCGCGTTTGGTACATGGCTGGATTTGGAAATTGATTCGAGTACAACTCAGCTCGAAATTAGGCGCGGCGCGAGGGCGAAATCAGAACTCCTTTTGCTTATAACTTGCTTTGTGTTTTCTGTTTTTGTATGCCTTCTTCAATGAAATTACTTGAACTTTCTGCCTTGGCATTTTTCCAGCAAATTCCTTCACAGAATTCAGGCCAGAGCTTCCTATGCAAGCTACTAAGGCTCTAAATAATCTTCGTAGTCTAGACCAAAGGCTGCGCACAATTCATGATTGTAAGCGCATGTGCAAGCACCTACTTCGCAGGTGCTTGTAGACAGTTATGCACGACGTGCACTGTCACACACATTGCGCAGGTTGTCAGCCACATGCTGACGGTTGCACATGATGAGCCATGTCGACCACGTGCTGTCACGTCGGTCGACTTCGCCACAGCAGCCTCGACAACGTTCGCACACCTTCGCGCACTCGTCGAGCAAGTAACTTGGTCAACCAGACGAAGTCCCTGACATCTCTACAAGATGATGACCTTCGTCATCATCGGTTGACGACCTTCGTCGTCGCTGCTCGACGACCTTCGTCGAGCACCTTCGTTGAGCACCTCGGTCAACATTTCGAAATGTCAGCCCCTGATTGGTCGAAATTAGGGCACATTCGAATTTCTGGCCAAAATTTGTATGTGCAGTCTCAATGGTGCGCAGCATCAGACGCGACCCTGCGCAGACGAACACCCGCGAACTTCTGCACGAGCTGCACCACTTGTACATGCGCACGGGAAGTCTGAGTTGCACTCGCGGATGCTTCGATTACTCTTGCATGGATTCCCTAATACACCTCGTGTACATGCAACCCTCGTATACCTGCAGACGGTCGGCTGCACCTCCCGCACACCCGACCATGAAGTTAGTTTTGCCCATGCGAGGGCAGGGCCAAATTCCTTCAACATTTAGGACGCTGTCATGGTATTGGATAGCAGCATGACTTAGGATTAGACACCTGAAGGGGGTACTTTAAGACTAGGTAGAAGTCAGTGTAGCTTTGAGTTGGCTTTCAGGCATCTAGGTATATAGGCTATTCGGCTTGTATGAAGCATTGGTTCTGTACGCCTTGGCACTACACCTCGTTATTGGCCGCAGAAGTTCCACGTGTCAGGCATGGGTAACATTCGAGGACGTCTTCTAGCCGCTTGACGTTGTGAGCGAAAGCCTTGGGCTTGTCGCTGCGACCGTCAGCCGGTTGACGACGGCCTCGCTTCATCGTGCGAATGCTGTCTGCCATTCCCAATCGCGGAATTATTGGACGTCGTAAATCTTCGTCACTTCCCGTCGCTTTATTCGCAACCGGCATCTTCACGCTACGAGCCGCGAGTCCTCTCGCGACTCGGTTCACCCCCCCAAATCTCGGCGTAGTCGTCCTCCGTTCAACAGCTGAGACGAGTCACGGAATTGCCTGGGGATGGAATCAGACAAGCTTATCTTGAACGAAGCTCGATTTCGACAGGAAGTTCGCCAAGATTTCTCCTATCTTCGCTTATAAGCGAAATGGTCGCCCATCAACGCCGATTTGGTAACTATGTCAGTTCTACATGCTGCGATGGAATCTGGTTCCAAATCGCATCCTTCGCCTACCTCTCACTTGCTTGCATGTCTCCGAGGAGAGAACCGCCTTCGCAGTTCACTTGATTGCGGTACAGGGAGGTGTATTGCGTATGAGAACATTTCGTATAGCATCGACGGCGGTTTGGAAGGGTTTGGAAGGAAAACGAGCTGTGGAACGACTCCCACTCCAGAGCCTCCTATTGCCGACTTTGCCGCCACATTCACTTTCCTCCAACCGTCGTCAGTTTCTTGCGCACGGTGGTGCTTGCTCAGGAACAATTGCGGGAAAATCGATCCGGTCACCGCACTGAAACCCTGCGTTTTGTATACAAAAGATACACAACCGTTTATGACCGTGCTAAAAAACGAACCTGAGGCGATCGATTCTCCACTTTTACCGCGTCCTCACATACCTCACTGTGGTGCTGGTTCTCCTGTCGGCCAGTTACGTCTCAGCATGAAAGCGTCACTCGTGCGAAGAATAACACTTGCTTGCTCCACATCAGATTTAGAACTTATCCTCACTTCATTCATCTCCATCCACCCCACCCATCCATCAACTATCTTCCGCTGGTTTCTCGGCCACAATACTGTGTTGGTGTTCCAGAGCCTTACCTCGTGTTCAACAACTATAGGTTAAATTTGTTATTCTTGGATTCACGCGATCTGCCGTCGCATCAGCATGGCTTCTCTTTCGCTCTCCGCGAGCCCCGCTGTCGCGAGCCTCTCAGCGACGTCCGCGAATTCCCTGGCAAATGCTAAGAGCCTCGCAATCTCCGCGACACCCGTTTCGCTGATGTCGCCACACGGCGTCGCTGCCGGAAGCGCGTCGCGATGGACGATGACTGCGACAATTCCTCCCAAGTAAGCCTCTCGTTACTCGCTGTGGGTTCATCCTAAATGTTCAGCGAAACTGCTTATACCCATTTCCACTACCTCTGACAATTTTCAACGCGTTTTGCCATGGTTTTCGCTTCATTCATTCTTTTTGCGAATTTGGTGTCATCGAGGGCTGTAACCTATTCGCACGGCGTCTTATAGAGCGCCGTGCGTCTTCCCTCAGAAGAAAGGCTTCGCGGGAAGTGGAGGGAGAGGAAGCAATTATCTCGCGTCGCGCGACGCTGATTCTTGGCTCCACGCCGATTCTGCTATCTCATGCCGCTCCGAACGGTTACGGATGAAATGAATTTCAGCACTTTGAGATCATGTCTTATCTGGTCTTCAAATCCGCGCCCACTGATAACGGTTAGATCGAATCAAGTCATACTCAGTCCCTCTCCTTCTCCCGCTTCTCCATCTTCGGACCTCCCGCCTTCTCCTTCCCGCCTTCTGCACGCGGAAGCGACTGACAATCCCAATCCCCGCTTTCAGTCCCCTTGCCCCTCTGTGCTCCCTTCCATGCGTGCATTTCCGCTGTCTCAGAGAGTCTGGCCCTCCCGCGAACGGCTCCGCAGCCAAGAAAGGGCCTACGGTGGCGATGACACAGCAGCGCGCGCACACCATCACACAAGAGGGGCTGGAAATCCCATTCCCTATTCTAATCTTTTTGCCTCCCCTCTCCTCTCTTTTGCGCGTGCCTTTCCCCTGCCATGGGATGTCCGTCTCTCCTGCAAACGGCTCAGCGGCCAAAATAACAGGCCCAACAGTGGTGGTGCCACAGCAGCGCGCTCACACCATCACGCGGGAGCGACTGGCAATCTTCAAGTGCTGTTGCGGTTTTCCCCTCAATCCCCCTCTATCTACTATGTGTGCTGCTTGTTCCCCTCCCCAGGGTGTCTGGCCCTCCTGCAAACGGCTTGGCAGCCAAGGATCGATGGTGCTGGTGCCGCAGCAGCGCGCACACACATCACACGGGAGAGGCTGGCGACCCCAATTCCCATTCCCAATCCCCTTGGCCCCTCTCTCCTCTCTCCCCCCTCCTCAGGGTGTCTGGTCCTCCTGCAAACGGCTCAGCGGCCAAGAGAGCAGGCCCGACGGTGCTGGTGCCGCAGCAGCGCGCGCACACCATCACGAAGGAGCGACTGGCGATCGTTCAGTCCATGGATGGGTGGGCGGAGAGCACGCTTCTCCCGCTGCTGAAACCCGTTGAGGCCAGCTGGCAGCCGCAGGTGAGTTTGGTTGGTGAGGCGCGGTGAGGTGCGGTGAAGTGTGGTGAGGCGCAGTGAGGTGCAGTGAGGTCCTCACACGTCATACTTCTCCCTTCCACTTCCCTCCCCACCTCCCCCACATCCCGAGCAAGACTCGTTTCTGGACGAGTTGGCGACCTGCAGGCTAGAGCAGCAACACTCCCAGACGACTACCTGGTGTGCCAGACAGCAATACTTCCCTCATGCTCAACCCTAAATCCCTCATGCTCTTGCAGCAGGCTTACACCTGTGGCCCACCTTCCCCCTTCCCTCACCCCACCTCCCCCACAGGACTACCTCCCCCACCCCGAGGAGGAATCTTTCCTGGACGAACTAGCCGACCTGCAGGCCAGGGCAGCGACGCTCCCAGACGACTACCTGGTGTGCCTCGTGGGGGATATGATCACAGAAGAGGCCCTCCCCACCTACCAAACCATGCTGAATACCCTTGATGGGACCAAGGATGAGGCCGGAGTCAGCCCCAGCTTGTGGGCAATGTGGACGCAGTAACCGCGACTCATTTCACCCTCCCTTCCTCTCCTCTTACCCTCCCCTTCCCCCCTCCCGCCCCACCACGACTCCTGCAGGATTACCTTCCCCAACCCGAAAAGGACTCTTTCTTGGACGAGCTAGCTGATCTCCAAGCCAGGGCAGCGACGCTCCCAGACGACTACCTGGTGTGCCTCGTGGGGGATATGATCACCGAGGAGGCCCTCCCCACCTACCAAACCATGCTCAACACTCTCGATGGGACCAAGGACGAGACCGGAGCCAGCCCGAGCCCCTGGGCGGTGTGGACGCGGAAATGGACGGCGGAGGAGAATCGGCACGGAGATCTGCTGAATCGGTATCTGTATCTGACCGGGCGGGTGGATATGCGCGCTGTTGAGAAGACGATCAACTACCTCATTGGCTCGGGGATGGTGAGTGTTGGGGATGGGGTGTGTGGGAATGGTGAGTGCTTAACATGGTGAGTGTGGGGTGAGGCGTTGGGTGAGTGTGGATATGCGCGCTGTGGAGAAGACGATTAACTACCTGATTGGCTCGGGGATGGTGAGTTACGAGTGAGGGCGAGGAAATGGGGTGGTGAGTGTTGATATGCAGGAGAGCAGCAAATCCGAAGGTTAGAAAACTCTCAAAAAACTAGAGGGCCGAAACTGAAAAAAAAAAAAAAAAGATTAGTACAACTCGAAAAAAAAAAAACCCTTCATGTAAAGCAGAACCTTACAAGCATATTTCGAGGTTTTGCTTTGATTGAAAAGTATTTCGAGTTTTACAGGTCTTTTCCAGGAAGAAAAGTCCAGTTCCGTTCTTCCAGTTGCTCTAAGTGTTTTCCAAACTTCGGATTTGCTGCTCTTCCGCTATGAGGGAAGCTTCCTATACACGTCCTTCCAGGAGCGAGCAACCTTCAACTCCTATTTCCCATTTCCTACCACCTTGTGAATCAGTTTTGAGAATTCTCAAAAGTGATTCTCAAAAGAGAATTCTCAAGAGTGATTCTCAAAAGAGAATCCGCAAAAGTGATTCTCAAAAGAGAATTTGCAAAAGTGATTCTCAAAAGAGAATTCTCAAAAGCGAGCAACCTTCAACTCCTATCTCCCATTTCCTACCACCTTGTGCGTTCACTCCCGCAACAGGACCCCAAGACTGAAAATAACCCCTATCTGGGGTTCGTCTATACATCCTTCCAGGAGCGGGCGACCTTCATTTCCCACGGCAACACAGTGTGCCACGCCAAGGAGTTTGGAGATGACCAGCTGGCGGTGATTTGCGGGATGATGGAAGTGGAGGATATGGAATTATGCTGCACACACCCTCTCCCTCCCTCACCCTGCCCTCCCTTACCCTACCCTCCCTCCCTCACTCCCACCAGGACCCCAAGACGGAGAACAACCCTTACCTAGGGTTCGTCTATACATCCTTCCAGGAGCGGGCGACCTTCATTTCCCACGGCAACACGGCGCGCCATGCCAAGGAGTTTGGCGACGACCGGCTGGCCGTGATCTGCGGGATGATAGCTGCTGATGAGAAGAGGCATGAGAAGGCGTACTGTGCGATTGTGTCTCGGCTGTATGAGCTGGATCCAAGTGGGGCGATGCTGGCATTCGAAGACATGATGAGGAAACAGGTATGTCATATGTGGGCTGGTAGCGGCCGATGAGAAGATGCATGAGAAGGCATACTGTGCGATCGTGTCTCGGCTGTATGAGCTGGACCTGAGTGGGGCGATGCTTGCATTCGAAGACATGATGAGGAAGCAGGTGCATTGTTTAATGTCATGTTGAAATAAAGTCAACTGGAGGTTAAAGTAGAGCCAGATGTTGCAACTTTTGGCCGACACAGGCAAGCTCATAGGCGCTGATAAGAAGAGACGCACTGCTGCCATTCCCCTACTCTTCACCTTGTGAGTGAATATTGAACCATCCACTTTGACATAACATGTTGACTCGTACACTGCTGTTCTTAACTCTTGTTTTCTTCCCTCCAATGCGTGTCCCGGTCTCCCATTTACTCTGTGTTGTCCTCTTTGCAGATTGTCATGCCAGCTCACCTCATGTATGATGGGGAGAACCCAAAACTCTTTGACGATTTCTCTACTGTAGCACAGCGTACTGGAGTGTACACTGCTGGAGACTATGCGGATATAATGGAGCACCTTATAGCGGTGTGGGATGTGGAGAAGATGGAGGGACTGTCTCCAGAAGCGGCACGTGCGCAGGAGTTTGTCTGCAAGCTGCCGCCCAGGATCAGGAGGTTGGCGGAGCGGGCGGCGGACAAGGTGAAGAAGGGCGGCCCGCAGACTGGCAAGTTTAGCTGGGTTTTCAACAGGGAGGTAAAGCTTGTGTAACGAATGTCCATGAATACTCGTCTTTATGTACAGACTGCCTAGTGTCTTAAAATTACCTTTCAAAAAGAAAAAGTCGTGAAGGATTTTTTTATCATCAGTATTCACTGATTGGCATTCAATGCTAGGAACTCGTCAAAAAGTGTACGTTTTTTGTGAACGAGCTATATCGAGTTGTCACGTATTAGGGCGTATCCCTGGGTGGTGGCAGGGCAACTGTAGCTGGCACTGTTGGTGGTATGCGCATTTTCCGGGCCCCTGTGTTTTTGGGAAAGTTGCCACCAACCTTGCCAGCTACAACGGCCCTGCCACCAGCCAGGGATGCGCCCTTAGAGTCCGGGAGATAGGGTTTTCACCGACAAATTTAATTGGCTTGGCATGTCGGTTCCCCGTTACAAACAGAAGCACCGAGTTTCGAGCAGCCCTAAACTTGAGTCAAACGTTCGATCTGTGACGAGATTGACAATCGACGGTTTTATCGTTTTTACGGGATGGCCTTTCTGCCCGACGGCCTAAAGTTGAGAAATTAGCCGTTGAGAACCAAGCCTGCTTGTCACTAGATCTGGTTCGCGTTCCAGACATGCAAGACATACCACAACCCAAGCAGTTCAATTTGTAGTTTTATTACTTGTTCAGTATTTTGGGGGCGAACAGATACCCTTTTCGTAACTCGTGGCACAAAGCATGTGCACCAACACTAAGGTTTGCACTCACAGGCAAGTGTGATCAGGCAGTCCATCCCCCTTTTGGCGGTTCGCCACCATTTCAAGTAAACTCCACTAACCGCACTCCATGGATTCATGGCTGCCGTGCTGAATCAGCCCTCTCTCCGCGCCGTACCAATTTGGCGTTTTACATTCCTTCTTCCAGACCAGGACACATGCCTTGATCCTGTAATAGCGTCTCGCCGTCATTTTGACCCAATGGAACCTTCCGACATTTCCAAATATGTGCTGCAGTTATGGCCACCCTCTTTTTTAGTCCCATTTCAACTTAGGTGTTGTAATATTCAGACTAGTTACTTCCCCACCGTGCTTCATTGAAACTGTCGTTTGCTATTGAGCAGAGGGGCGATTATTCTCTTCGATGTATTCAAAATTCTTTCACAGGTGTTCGTAGCCGTTGGTACCTCGAGAAGGTACGCCGTAGTGTAAGAGCGACGCACGGCGGTCGACAATTTCGAGATGCTCACCAGCTTCCGGTTGGTGACGGACTGATAGGATGACGGACGGTTTAGGCGACTGATGGTTTGGCATGCCTGACGGAGTCCATCGCTGACAGAAATCGTCACTGATTGTTGAAGCCCACGTTAAAGCGGAGCAAGCGGCGCTTGTCCCTGAAACTCCACGATCCGACAGCGTTGCGCCATAGGCATTATTTATAAAAATTTCAAAGTTTCTTCAAGCATGGTCTACTAGGCCCTTATAGATAAAACGGTCTGCTAGTAGCAGCGTTGCACCAAGATGGCTCCAAGGCACCTCCGCTCACTCTCTCGCAGACTCTATCTTACTTTCCTCCTGCTCTCCGTCTTCTCCGCCGCGTCTTCCGCTGCTGAAGTCTTTGGAGAGCCTCCCGCAAACGCCCCCGTCCCGTCTCCTGACGACGAGATAATTCCGGATATCCCCGGTATAGACTACTCCGTTAATATCACGCTACCAGTCGTTTCAGGCACATCAGGTGATCCCGTTGGACCCCCCATCTGTTTTCGCCAAGGCCTTTCGCCGCACCCGGTCCCGATCCCTTGTGGCGAAAAGCCGTCCCGAACGGCCGCGCCGCAAAGGTCGTCGCACACCGCGTCGCAAGCCACGCCGCTCGCCAGCGTGCGAGTCGCATCGAGCGGCGGTAACTCTAGTCGGCCTTTAGCGGGCTCCACACCGAACCTGACTCCCGCTACTGAGCTCTTCGATACATGCATCGGACAAGGTACGGTAATACATTGTTTCGTCTCAGCTTCCACAACCTCTCGTCGTGGTGCGAGAATTCATGATGAGCGTTTCGGTCTGCACTGCCTGTCGCGTCTCTCACGTTACTCTCGCCTCGCTCGCCTCTGCCATTTTATCGATTGTGCAATCGCGTCGCACGATATTTTAGCTGGCTCATAAATCGCCTCTCTCATTCTACTCTCGCCCCCGCCCGTGCCGTTTACTGGAGTCAGGCGTCATTTTGTAACCCGACTGTCGAATCTGCGATTGCGCATTCGCATTCGCACGTCCGCATTGCACGTCGTGTCATGTCCCTGTCTCCTACCCGCTCTCACCCCCTCCATCCACCCTCTCCCCTTTCCAAGCTCGCATGAGTGATTTCGAACCCGCAGCAGCCGAACAGATAGACTTACTCCCCCCATGTTCCACTTCTTGGGGAGCATGCGTTTCAGAATTCCACCCCTTCTCCCCACCCCCCCATCCCCTCCCCCCCCCCCCCCCCCCCCCACCCTCCTTTTTCCTCCCGCTCCTTACCTTCTCCACACCCTCCGCCAAAAATTTCCCCACAAAGATCCAAGCCTTCCCCCACACTCCCCCCTCTCCCCAGGCCCCGCGTCAGTGACTCTGAACCCGCGGTGGCGGAACAAGTGGAAAGGCTGGCACGTCCCTCTGTTGGAATGCCCGTCCCCCTCTTCCCGTAACTTCTCCCCACTCTCTCCCCACCATCCCCCCACACTCCCCCCAGGCCCCGCATCAGTGACTCTGAACCCACGGTGGCGGAACAAGTGGCAAGGCTGGGGCACCTCCCTCTGCTGGTAAGCCGCTCCCCACTTCCCCAAAAGCCCCACTTCCCCTCCTCCCCTCTTCCGCCTTCCGTAATTCCCCACCTTTCCTCCAACCCCCCACTCCTTTGTTAACAAACCTGCAGCTTTTCTCCTCTTCGCAGGTAATCCGTCAGTGCTCCATTCTCGCTCCTCAACCCCAACAATTTCTTTTCACTGTTCAATGACCATAGCACAGACCCTCACTTTTGGCATAACGCGCATCATTATTTTTCAACAACTAGACCACGAATCTCACTTTTCAACAGTATGGCACTAAACTCCCATCCACCCTCCCCGTCCCATCCCGTGATCTCCCGTCCCCCCCCCCCCCCAGGCTAGGAAACTTCGTGGGAGGCTTCCCAGACAACCATTTCAACCCTTTAATGGACCTCCTATTCTCCCCCTCGGGTCTAAACCTCAACATAGTCCGTTACAACATAGGAGGCGGCCATAGTGCCACTAACAGCCCCCAGTTTCAGTCCGACAATCTTAAATGGCGGGGTATGCCTGGCTTCAAGGCCACGGAAAATTCGGCCTATAACTGGGCAGCGGACGACAGGCAGCGGAAAGTTTTGTTCGCTGCCCGGGCACGGGGGGCAGACACGTTTGAAGCGTTTTCCAACAGCCCCCCGTGGTGGATGACGGTTTCTGGGGATGTTTCCGGTGCAGCCACATACGGGCAGGGTAATTTGAAGGTGGAATATGAGACGGCATTTGCCGAGTTTCTTACTGACGTAGTGCAGAAATTTGCAACAGACAGACGCTGGGGCAAGGGATTAGTGTTCGATACTCTGGAGCCTTTTAACGAGCCACTGGAGGGGTGGTGGAAGAAGGGGGGAGGGCAGGAGGGGTGCAACATTGGTGTAGCGCAGATGAAGCGGGTCCTACAGAAGACTCAGGCTGCGCTGCAAAGGAAGAAGCTTAAAACGAAGCTTGCTTCTGTGGATAGCTTTGTCGAGAGGACTCCGGAAAACGTTGCGAGTTTGAACGGGTTTATCTACCGTTACAACGTGCACGGTTACATGAACCTGGCGAAAAACGGGGCGGATCCGGTCGAGTGGACGAGGCAAAACTTTCGTGACATGAAATTGACGGCGAAGTCTGCGACAAAACCGGTTTGGATTTCGGAATGGGGGCCTTTGGATCGGGATGGGGATGACATGGGTGTTGCACTGTACATGGCAAGATCTATTATTGCTTCCATAAACATTCTGGAAGCTTCTGGGTGGGTGTATTGGCAAGCGATGGACCCATCTTCGACTTGGGGGATGATTAATATCGATTGGTCGAAGACTCCGGACGCGTCTGCAGTGTACACTCCGCCTACAGTCTCCAAAAAGTTTTGGATATTGAAGCATTTTACAAGCCTTGCTCCCAAAGGCAGCCGGAAGCTTGTCCTCAGCAAGGGGAGGTGTAATTTCGGGATTGTGGCTTTCTACACCCCGAAGAAGAGGATGATCAGCGTGTTTGTTGTGAACCAAAAGGCGACACCAAGGAAGGTAAGTGTTGCGATTAGTTGGTGGTTTCAGAAGAATGTTGGTGGCAAGTCGGAGGTGCTATCCTGGAGAACATCTTATTCCGAAGACTTTGCGCAAGTTGACTATGGAGGTCTGCCAATACGCTTTGAGATGCCGGGCAGGTCCTTCGTCTCACTTGCAGTTACGCATGTCAGGCCTTTCTTGAAGATTGATACACCGTGGTAGATATCATATTATTATATTCTAGAGTATTTGTATGATAAGGTGGTTATTCATCTCTATGTAGACCCCAAGGCGTGTCCCTTGGAGGTCATTTTCTAGTTCGCTCATTCTGTTGGTTGATCACTTTCTTCATTGAGCCGTATTTAGGCAAATGTTTCGACACTGCTGCATATTGAAGGCATTGATAGAGAACACCAATTTTGAGGTGAACATAAGTGAAGATCGAAATGAAGGGAAGATGTATATGTATGAAACTGGCACTATCAATAAAGCTTGAGAGATGCTCTGGATTGTGCTTGAGAATGGTAGCGAAGCATGTAATGGGAGATTCTCAGTTGTGTGTGCTCTAAACGAAAGCTTCAAGTCATGAATCCCCGACCACACGAAGCTCCGACCTGGTCATAGGCAGGGCACGACACGTCAGCCATCACTGTACGAGCGTCAGCATCTCCCCCACACTGCGATGGCGCATGTACAGTACACGGGTGTGTGTCAGGTGTGTGTGGATGAGTTTTCACCCTTTGCTAGGTTTTGCCTGGTCCCTGTCACCGATAGCGTTCTCCAGTTCCACTCATACGAAATTCAAAATTCGTGTTTCAGAGGGTTGCCTGTACTTGGTGAATTGCTTTGTACATTTGTGAAAACCTCTAAAAACCTTCACACACCCGCACATACCAGACGGATGACACACAGAGTCGTCGCCTGTGCACACTAGAAATGCTGATGGAAGTCGTTAACCCATAACACGTGTCGCTTATGCTTTATAGGTTGCTGCGATGCCGCTTCACGCCTTAGCGCATCACTCTTGCGCTTCGTGTGACTGTCAGGCGAGTGTGTGAGGCCAGGAATTTCTTGCTTTTATTTCTCGTTCTGCCAAATCATCGTCCCGCACGTTGCCAGACTGTTTCCTGCTCGGTTTCCTTTTCCGGTAGCCATGGTTGCTGCTTGCTCGCTGTAGCTTCCATTCGCTGCTGCCTCAGCTCCAAACACAAGCGTTCTTTCCTTAGTTCCTCTTCCTTTGCCTGCACAAGTATTCGTGGTGGGTCAACCCTCGCAGTGATACGTTCGGCAGTGTCACGTTCGGAAGTCACGCTCGGCAGTGTCACGTTCGGAAGTCACGCCCGGCAGTGTCACGTTCGGCAGCGGCGGTGTCACGTTCATCAGTGTCACTTTCGTCAGTGTCACGTAATCTAGCGGCCACATCACGTTCGACAGCATCACGCTCGACAATATCACCCTGGAATAATAACACTGCAGCACGACTGCCTGGAGTAGAGTAGGCTGGTAGCTCAAAGGACTTAGCTTTGCAACCATGAAAGCGGACTCCGTCATATGTCGTCCATGTCGGTCCGTCACCGTCACCGTCGCCCTCCGGCTCCTCGCCTTAACCAGCATCTTCGTTCTGTCAGTCACCGCCTTCTGTTTACTCTCCTCCCAACCTCCTAATTCTACTGTAACAACGTTCTGTTTAAACTCCCTGATTCCAGTCAGCCGAAAGCTGAGAACAATCATAGTCTCGGTCAGCCGAAACATCTCTCAGTCACTGTTCGACTCAGCCGGTTTGGACGGCCGTAGCCTTCGGCTTCCTTCCTCAGATGATCAATCAGGTCAACAAGGTCGATTAGGTGCTCAAGAAATAAGCGGCGGGGAAGAAAGACTAAACAGCAAGCCGTTCCTACATGACGGAGAGGGACAGAATAAGCAGCCGGATCCGTCCAAATTTCCTTACTGGCGGCCGTGGCACTGTGTCAGGCACAAGCCCTTCGTTACTGTCACACGCAGGGATTGCTCCTTGGCTGGTGGCTTGGACAGCGGCAACTGTAGCAGCAGTATCAGAGGCAGCAGCAACAGCAGCATTGACAGTCAAAGCAGCAGTGACAGTCAAAGCAGCACAGGCAGCAGTAGCAGCAGTGTGGGCAACAGTCATAGCAGCAGTTTCCCCAGCATGAAAAGTTTTCCCATCAGCAGCACCAGTGTCCCTAGCAGCAGCAGTAGCAGCAGCAGCAGCATTGCTAGCAGCAGCATGGCTAGCAGCAATATTGTCTCGGATATAGACATGCCTCTGGTTCACCTGCTGCTGCTGCACGCCGCTACAGTGTACAGTGAAGACACCGCGTCGCTGCACGCGTGGAACTGCTCCCAGTGCGTGCTGCCCGAGATGAGGGGATTCCATCTGTTTCAGATCATTGTTGAGCCGACTGCTCGCCTGCAGGTGAGGGTCAGCTTCCCAGGTGGCGTAGGGAGAAAGTACCTTGGCTTTAAACCCAGTGCGTGCTGCCCGAGATGAGGAGCTTCCATCTGTTCCAGATCATAGTCGAGCCGACTGCTCGCCTGCAGGTGAGGGTCGGCTTCCCAGGTGGGCCTCCCTTGCTCCTCTTCTCTCCGTGATAGGATTGCTGATTTCGAGGCCCTCCCCCCCTCCCCTCTTGCGTTACCCCCTGTGACCCCATCTCCCTGTCTGCTCCTGTCTCCACCTGCCACAACAGGCCTATGTGGGGTGGGACCCCCCATCGCGTCTCATCATAGTCGCATTCAGAGGCACCTGCACTTCCTCTCTCCACAACTGGATCGCCGAACTCGAGGCCCTCCCCCGCTCGCTCTCTCAGTTACCCTGGTCTATGTTTGCCCCCACTCTCCCTCGTCCCCGTCTGCTCCTTTCCTGTCCCCCGGTCAGGCCTATGTCAGGTGGGACCCCCCCTCCAGACTCATCATTGTTGCATTCAGGGGCACCTGCACCTCGTCTCTGCGCAACTGGATCGCCGATCTCGAGGCCCTCCCCCGCTCCCTCTCAGTTACCCCGTTTCGGACCCTCTTGTGTCCCTACTTTCCCGCCAACAGGCCTATGTAGGTTGGGACCCACCTTCTCGACTGATCGTGGTCGCATTCAGAGGCACCTGCACCTCGTCTCTCCGCAACTGGATCGCTGATCTTGAGGCCCTCCCGCGCTCCCTCTCCTACCCGGGTCTGCGCCACGCCCGTGTGCACCGCGGCTTCTACTCCGCTTACCACTTCACTCGTCTGCGCCCGGCCGTGGTGCACGCCGTGCTGTTTCTGATGACGATCCTGCCGGGATCCTTTCGAGTGGCCTTCACAGGGCACTCCCTTGGGGGTGCTTTGGCTACTCTCAGTGCTCTCGACCTGCAGGTATGTGGGTGGGAAGGATTGTGTCTGTGGGGGTTTGTTGTGTCTGTGAGGGTTTGTTGTGTCTGAAGCTCCCTTTTCCTACCCCGGTCTGCGCCACGCCCGTGTGCACCGCGGCTTCTACTCCGCTTACCACTTCACTCGTCTGCGTCCTGCTGTGGTGCACGCTGTGCTGTTTCTGATGACGATCCTACCGGGAAGCTTCAGTGTGGCCTTGACAGGGCAATCTCTGGGAGCTGCCCTCGCTACTCTCAGCGCTCTCGACCTGCAGGTGGGTGGCGTTAAGGGAGGAGAGGTGTCTCTGTGTTTCTCTGTGTGTGTCTCTGCGTATCTCGAATGGTCCTTTACTACTATAGGCGCTGCTATACAACGGGAGGGCAATACGGTAGGTACAGCGTCCACAAGCACTAACCACCGCACTTACCTTTGGCTCGCCTCAAGTGGGCGACCTTGTGATTTGCTGCAATCTGTCTATCTCTTTTCACTGCTTCCCATCACCCACCACCTGGTATCCTACAACCTCCTCCCATCACCCACCATTCGAGTCGTCACCTTTGGCTCGCCTCGAGTGGGCAAACATGTTCTTGTCAACAAACCCCTCTTCTCCCCCTTTTTCCAACCCCTCCCCCTCCCGCAAACCCCTCATCCTTCGCCACTTATTTCACCCGCTAACTTGTATCTTCAGGTGTCCTACGACCTCCTATCACCCGCCATTCGAGTCGTCACCTTTGGCTCGCCTCGAGTGGGCAACCCTATGACTTGCGGCAAACCCTCTCATTTTACCCGCCTTTCTCCGCATGCACCTCCTACCCTTGCATACTCCCATCCCCAGGTATCCTACGACCTCCCATCACCCGTCATTCAAGTCGTCACCTTTGGCTCGCCTCGGGTGGGCAACGCTGCTTTTGCGGCCTACTTCCGGCAGAAGCTTCCTAAAAGCACCCGTGTGACCAACTGGAAGGATCTTGTGCCGCACTTGCCGCCCGCAACCATCGGTTATCATCATGTGGCCACCGAGGTGAGATTTTTTTTTTTTTTTTTTTTTCAAGGCTTTTTAGAAATAAACTTGCTGCCCGCAACCATTGGTTACCACCACGTGGCCACTGAGTTGATTTCCCTCTCCAAATTTTATTATCTAGGTATCCAGTAATTTACTTGCTGCCATCAACTATTGGCTACCACCATGTGCCCACTGAGGTGAGGGGGTTGAATCAATAATGTGCTATATAATAATAGAACTAGGCATATAAAAGCATTCTTACGACCTGCATCCATGGGTTACCACCCCGTGGCCACTGAGGTGAGAGAGGGTGAGTTGCGAAGCAAGTTGTGCGAGAGGTGAGTTTAATTAATCCCATACTCTGTGCACAATTTTGTGTTAACACTTGTACTTTAAAGGATACGGCGGGAAATCCGCCGTTTTCTTTTTGAATTTGTTAAAATTTAACGGAATATTTCGCACCGCTTTGATGGTATAGGAAGTGGCACCCAGTTTCAGTGAAAATGGCTGGTGGTCCTTTGCTATCTATCTAGAGAAGATGTGCATCTTCACGACGGAGAATGCCGAAAAGTTTTCAGCAAGTGAGTTCGTGATGCTGCAACTCGTGTTACCCACTCTCGAATTGATCGCACACATTGCGAGCATCACGAACTCACTTGCTGAATAATTTTCGCCATTCTCCGTCGTGAAGATGTACGTCTTCTCCAGATAGAGCGCAAAAGACCGCCAGTCTTTTTCACCGAAACTGGGTGCCACTTTCTGTACCATCGAAACAATGAATTTAAGGTTGAGCTCTCCTTCAGTGCAGCTCATCAAGTTCAGCTTCACCAAGCATGCAGAAGCGTTCTGCTTTTGTCTCATTTGTCCTTCTACCATGTACTCTCTCCCCCCCTTCCCACTGCAGGCGTGGATAATCCCTGACTCTGTGCACAACGTCTCCTTCAGTCCATCGAGTTCAGCTTTACCAACTCAGAAGGGGCGTTCTGGCTCGGTTTCTTTACCGCACCTGCTGAGGCAACGCCGGTCGTTGCCCCGGCGGGTGTTGCATCGTCGATCGTTACAACGAGGACCGTTACAACAGCAGCTGTTGCAGGAGCAAACGCTCTTGATTGACGAAAAAGACAGCCACACCAGTCATCAAGGTGGGTTTTAACATGCGCATTATATGCCTGCTCCATCGCACACATGTCTGCCCCATCGCACACACGCTCACACCCTCTTTCTCTGCTGTTTTCACCCCACTTCCCACGTGGCATGCAGGTGATCTGACAGGAAACATACACCAGTGTGACAAGAGGCGTACGCACATGTACAGTACAGTACGCACACTCACACGTCTCCCTGTGCTCTTGTTTTCACCCACCACTTTTCATGTGCCACGCAGGTAATCTGACGTGGCACGTGCACCAGTGTGACGAGACAGGCGAAGACCCTTGCTGCAGCAGGTGGGTGGTATTCTTTGCCTTTACCTCATCACCTGTATCTATCAGTGCATGAGTGGAAAATGGGCAGCAGGTAGATGGGCTGGGTTATCTCAAAACTCAAAACATGCAAATGTCCCTGCTTGCTGCAAGTGGGGTTGTGCCCTGTTCCCCTACCCCCTATCATGTTACTCGTACCTCCTGCCGTGTTACCATACATGAGAGGAAAAGAGGTGTTTTTGTATTGGAGCTTCTGGCAAAACACCAATGTCGACCAGGATCTGAAAGGCAGCTAAGGTGCACGCATAAAAAATTCCACAGCGTACAAACCCCTCAGCATGCACCTTAAAACGCTGAGGGGTTTGTAAGCTGTGGAGATATTTTTACGCTTGCACCTCAGCTGCCTTTCGAATTCTGGTCGACATTGGTGTTCTGCTAGAAGCTCGAATATTGTTAGTGTTGGTTGTAGTAGTGGTGAGTTGCGCGAGGAACGAGGAGGAGGACGAGGGCAGGAGGGGAACCTTGGAGAGGAGCCATGCGTTTGTTGATCCTGCATTTTCGAACCTTGGTGCATTTGTCCATCTGATTGTGTGTGCATGGTGTTTTCTCAGTCTCGCCCCTCCGCTGCTTGTTGATCCTGCATTTTCAATGTTTTCATTGTGCATGAACTAACCTGTGCAGTTTTCTTTACCTCCATTATACCCTTATGGTCCCCCCATATCTCCCTTGTTGTATGAAGAAGTGTTTTGGGACGTCTCAAAACACTTCTTCGTACTCGTGGTTTTCTTTACCTCCGTTATACCCTTATGGTCCCCCCATATCTCCCTTCTTGACTTTTGAGTCGACTTAAAAGGCAGTTTTTTTTACCTCATGGTGCCCCCATATCTCCCTTTGTTATTAACTACCCTCGTCCTGCTCCTTGTATGAAGAAGTGTTTTGAAGAAGTGTTGTTCTGAGTGGAGTGCCTGGGGAGTGCCTGGGGAGTGCCTGGGGAGTGCCTGGGGAGTGCCTGGGGAGTGCCTGGGGAGTGCCTGGGGAGTGCCTGGGGAGTGCCTGGGGAGTGCCTGGGGAGTGCCTGGGGAGTGCCTGGGGAGTGCCTGGGGAGTGCCTGGGGAGTGCCTGGGGAGTGCCTGGGGAGTGCCTGGGGAGTGCCTGGGGAGTGCCTGGGGAGTGCCTGGGGAGTGCCTGGGGAGTGCCTGGGGAGTGCCTGGGGAGTGCCTGGGGAGTGCCTGGGGAGTGCCTGGGGAGTGCCTGGGGAGTGCCTGGGGAGTGCCTGGGGAGTGCCTGGGGAGTGCCTGGGGAGTGCCTGGGGAGTGCCTGGGGAGTGCCTGGGGAGTGCCTGGGGAGTGCCTGGGGAGTGCCTGGGGAGTGCCTGGGGAGTGCCTGGGGAGTGCCTGGGGAGTGCCTGGGGAGTGCCTGGGGAGTGCCTGGGGAGTGCCTGGGGAGTGCCTGGGGAGTGCCTGGGGAGTGCCTGGGGAGTGCCTGGGGAGTGCCTGGGGAGTGCCTGGGGGTGCCGTCCCATGATACAGCCCCTCACTCAGTTCCTTTTCCTTCCCCGCCTCTTCAATTGTCTCTCCACCTGCCAGGTCTGTAGTGGCCGATAGCATAGCCAACCCACTTGGAGTATCTGAGTGTGTCGTCACATGCTCTGGACTTCACTTGGAATCCTATCCACCCCTCCTTCCTCCCTTTCAAAACCCCTTCCCTCCTCTCATCTCTCCACCTGGCAGGTCTGTGGTGGGCGACAGTATAGCCAACCACTTGGAGTACCTGGGGGTGCCGTTGCATTCAGGTCACAGTTCATCAGACACCTGAGACACCTGTTCATTATTCTCCCACTTCTCCCCTCCCCTACCCACTTGAATCATCTCCCTACATACCAGGTCTGTGGTTGGCGACAGCATAGCCAACCACCTGGAGTTCCTGGGAGTGTCGTCAGCCTCCTCCCCCACGCCTCGTTACTCAAACCTTTTTCCTTTCCCCAATCAACTCCTTACATACCAGGTCTGTAGTGGGCGACAGCATAGCCAACCACTTGGAGTACCTGGGAGTGCCGTTACATTCAGGGCACAGTTCATCAGACTCCTGAGGCACCTGGGAATACCCCTGGAATACCAGGAAGTACCTGAGGTTCATCCGACAAGACAAAACTGTGGACCGCAGTACCATCACCAGAAGCAGCACAATCGTTAGCACCATCAGCACCATCAGCACCATCAGCACCATCAGCACCATCAGCAGCATCAGCATCATCAGCAGCATCAGCACCATCAGCAGCATCAGCAGCATCAGCAGCATCAGCAGCATCAGCAGCATCAGCACCATCACCACCATCACCACCATCAGCAGCAGCATCAGTACCATCAGCAGCAGCATCAGTACCATCAGCAGCAGCATCAGTACCATCAGCAGCAGCATCAGGACCATCAGCAGCAGCATCAGTACCATCAGCAGCAGCATCAGTACCATCAGCAGCAGCATCAGTACCATCCGCAGCAGCATCAGTACCCATCAGCAGCAGCATCAGTACCATCAGCAGCAGCATCAGTACCATCAGCAGCAGCATCAGAATTATCAGCGGCACCATCTGCTACCTTGTATGCACATCATTGGCATGCGTGTAATTGGTCAGGCTCAGGACCCGCCCCTGTGTATAGCTGCTCTCTGTATTCCTTTATTTTTCTGGTCGACTTAAAACTCACCTTTTGTGTATAGCTGCTCTTTACAATCACCTCCGGTGTAGCTCCTGTAATTCATGCATTCATTTGAACCTCCTCCTGTGCTGTGCAAAGCTACTGTACTCTAGGTGGATTCATGCTCTATCCATCCACCAGCCAGTGTCAAATGCGTTCAGCTTACTACCATAATGGTGGTACCGTACCATACGGTACTTCTTTTGTTACCGTGTCATGTATGCATCTTCACATGAAGCCCAGCCCACCCATTGAATACAAATTGTTGGTAGATCTCATCTCAACCTCTATCCAACACATTGAGCTAACAGACTCCTTCCATTCATAGTGTTGATTCGTCTGTCTGAGACTCTTTCCCAGGACCTTAGCTGGTGCATCTTCCAGTGGGTGGCTTGCCTACCGTACCGCTGACTATATCTACAGTACATTAGGTTCTACACTTGAACCACCATGAAGCCAGCGTCAGCATATACATAAACCAATAGCGAGGAAGGTAAAAGGGGAAGCATAGGTCTACAAATTCATATGCAAGCTACAGTAAGGTTGGAGTTAGGGTACAATCCGCTGTGGACCATGTTCCAATCGATGTGTCCGAATCGATTGTGACGCGTACGTACAACATATGCTGCCAGGTGTCAGAATGCCGAGCCGCCCGTGGTTATCGCCAAATGTATTTATCATTGGGTGACGTGAAACACGGAGTAGTCGCCAGCTAATTGCAACACATTCCATCAGTCGCACGCGGTGCCAAATGTCAACTCATGCAGCATGTATCTAGACGACATCTCGAAAAACCCACTATCCCCATCAACGCGTACACTGCGTCGTGATTGGTCGAGACGACACACCCGGAATTATTGACAGGGACACGCACGTCCCCGCCAGCGCGCCTTCCCCCAGTTCCAATGCTCCTTCCCCACAACTCCTCCACCTCCCAACACCTTACGGGATCATCTTCGTGCACCATCCTTCCTGTTCCTATCTGTTCATTTCTCTCTGCTCCCGCTCCCTTCAGATCTAGATCTAGAAACTCTCTATCCGCCAGCATGGCTCGTAAGCGTAAGGGGCAGGCCCTTAACGACTGCCCCAAGGATCTTAACAACATTCCTTACATCCGCTGGATGAACCAGCAGATCGCCAACGGGCGCCATCCGAGGGGATTATCCGCGCCGCCCGTGCTTGACGGCCAGGGATCCAGTGCACAGTCGCCCAGTGCGGCCCCGTCACGTGTGCGCCGTAAGCCTGCAAGGACGGCGGCAACACACCGGCATGTCGTGGAGCAAGATGCTGACGAGTACGATGATGTTGACCACGAACAAGGCCTCGACACCGACGACGACGAGGAGGAACCGGAAGACCTTGGGATGTCGCCCAGCGACGACGACGACGAAGATGAGGACGCCGAGGACGACGCGGAGGAGGAAGCGCAACCTGTTGCTCCGCCGTCGAAACGGAGCGCCGCACGCGCATCTGGGGCTGACAAAGGCAAAGGCAAGGCGGCGCCACCACCGCCACGCCAGGAGCCACGGAAGAAGCGGTCGGCTGCACCAGTCGAGAGGGGCTTATGGTCGGACAAGGAGAGCACCATATTCGCCGCGGCGAAGTGGTTCATGAAAGAGGGGCTCGAGTCTCTCAAGGGGAAGTAGGGGACGCAATACTGGGTCCGACTACTCGCGCACATCAAGGAGTCGAACCCTGAATGGTGCAGGGGTGTCAACGCGTTGCAGAAGCGGTGGCGTAACTTGACGCTCCTTTGGCGGAAGTACAAGCGTGGCGACGGGGGGTCAAGCAACGGCTCGGTGGAGAAACCACCGTGGTATCTGTACCTGGAGCTGCACAACCAGGACACCGCCGCAGCCGCACCGCATGCGGTGGACGGCGGCGGCGCCACGGACGTCAACGTGCCAGCCGGCATGGAAGTTCCAAGTTCGTCTCAGCCAGGCACGTCAACACCAACCTTTACAGGTGAGTCGTGCTTCTATTACCTCTAACTTGATATGCGTTTATCTTATCATAGTTTGAATACGAAGAAGTCGTTTATATGATTTGCTAATATGCAGGTTACATCAAACAACGGTAGTCGGACTAATGGATTCTACTATTTTCCCTGCTCCTCTATCACAGCTCCGCCGCCGCCGACCACCGCAACACCCAGGCGCACCTGGGTGCATGAGACGGCTACCATGCAAGCTGCCATGCTGGTTTCCGCGACCATCAAGGATTGTCACGGTGACGCGATGACGCGCATTGAGAGCCTCGTCCGTGAATGGATAGCGCAGGATATGCGCCTTGCCCGCAAGCGCATGACTGGATCGGCGCCCCCGGACGTGCACCGTGCGCCGCCGGATTTCAGCCCTCCTCCACCACGCGGGGAGTCTGCACCACCTCCCAAAGCCGCACAGCAGGGCGACGATTTTTGCGACGTCAACACCATCACTCCGGGTGCTGAGGATGTGGAGATATGGGTGCGCGGCGCCGATGATTAGCGTAAGATCCTGTAGGGCCTCACCCAGACTTTTCCGCCTCTCTCTCAGAGCCTGTTGTGTTGGGGGAACACAGGGTTCCCACTTGTGTGTCGCAATGGCAGCCCGTGTCCACCAAGGGTCGCGGTTGCGGGGCAGATTGAACCATGCCATGTTCTTGCGCCACGTCTGCCATCTCTTCACACATGTTGTGCAGGATCACACAACACGCGGCTCCTGCGAGAATGCGCCACAACCTGCAATCATTGCGCCCGCCGAAGATGCGCCATCTCCCTTTGAAGGCGCCGATGCGCCTTTCCACCGCCATGCGTGTGGCGCTCTAGTAGTAGTTGAAACATTGGGCCCAATCGTCCATTAGGTCCTCTCCGCGCGGAGCATGCAGAGGGGGTTAGGCAGTATTCTCTTAGCGGGTAGGCCGCATCCCCAACAATCTGGTATGAGGCTATGTCCCGGTTGTGTAACCTCTCAAGTAGTGCAGAATCTTTGAAAACCCGCATGTCGTGCGCGCTGCCGGGATAGCTGATGAGGTAATCCCATGTCCTGCCTTGTGCATCACACGTGATTTGGAGCTGAACGGCGTAGGCCGACTTTCTTGTCCAGTACTCCGCCCTGTGCCCTTCCATCCCTTTCATGTGGATGTGAGTCCCGTCCACAGCCCCCACCACTGCAGGTACACCTTTGATGGCAGCAAATTCACGCGCCATCTCGGGAAGTTCACCGCGTGTGGGAAAGCGCACCTAGGCGGCCTTGAAGACTGAGGGGAACTCGGTGAGGAACACGTCGACAAGCTCGTGGCAGAGTGTCTTGGAGACACCGAACAGGTACGACATGTCGACGTAGGATATCCCACTCGCCAAGTACTTGTTAGAGTAGGTTGATTCACTATCGAGAAAGTTTGGGTACAAGGATGAGAACCCAAAGGGGTTGTACCCTACATTAGCTACCCCACTACAGCCTAACCAGATATAACATGCATATAATTGACACAGCCCCATAGGCAAAGTGGGGGAGAACAAGGGGTCACAAGACCAGTCAAGAGAAGCAAAGCAAGCTCAGCGTGGATCACAACGTCACCACACACACTGAGCACAAGCAAAGGGCCACAAGATCAGTTCACATGCTGAGATATATATGAAACAACGGCAGCACAGTGATCTCTACCTAGCAGAGCAAGCATGCAGGTATATATATCTCTATATAAATATGTACATATATGTATAGATCACAGTCCAGGCAAAGTCTACAGCAAGTGAGGAAACGTGGGCACAAGGCCTAACAAAGTACAAAAACGCTGATGATCGCCAGACGGAAGTGCCTTGGTGAATATATCAGCAGTGTTGGCCCGAGTGGCCACGTAAGGAAGACGAAGCTGACCATGTTGCTGCAACTCTCGAGCGAGGAAGTAACGCAGAGCGATGTGCTTCGTTCTGTGCTCCACTCTGTGCTCCTGACACAAGGTAATGGCGGCCTTGTTGTCGACGTACAGCACTGGAGGAGAACGAGGCCGCTCTCCCAAGTCGGTCAGCAGGTAGGTGAGCCAGCGTAGCTCCTGTGCAGCCATGGATGTGGCATAGATCTCAGCCTCACAGCTGGAGCCGAGAACTGAAGAAGAGCATGTAGACCGCTAGGAAACTGAACC